AGATCCTGTCAAGTACCTACTGCACCAGTTTACACTGGTTGTATAAGCATATAGTTAATAATATTTTAGTGTAATAAAGATCCTGTCAAGTACCTACTGCACCAGTTTACATTGGTTGTATAAACATATAGTTAATACTTGAGTGTAATACAGATCCTGTCATGTACCTACTGCACCAGTTTATACTGGTTCTATATGCTTATAATTAATATTTTAGTGTAATACAGATCCTATCAAGTATCTACTGCACCAGTTTACACTGGTTGTATAAGCATATAGTTAATAATATTTTAGTGTAATACAGATCCTGTCAAGTACCCTACTGCACCAGTTAATACTGGTTGTATAAGCATATAGTTAATAATATTTTAGTATGGTACAGATCCTGTCAAGTAACTAGTGCACCAGAGTTCCTGTCACAAGTTAGTCATGACATATTCACAAACGATTTTAATTAATATCATATATCACTTTTTTTATAGTAGTGGCTTCAAATTTTATCCTTTGAAGTGCATATATACCACAAAAGTTGGTTATTAAGGTACAGGCAATTCTCTCACACTCATCAACAATTTGACTTGAAAGAGCAAAATATACAGCAACCAGATGTAAGTTTCATATACAAATGTAACTTGGCCCAGCATTATTTCAGTATTCAATGTACATCACTAAGTCTTTATTCAACAGAAATATTGAAAATATACAAAAGTATTTTACCAACAGTGGTAAAGATTTAAAGTATTATGATATATCTATCATCAGATTCATTTTGTATGCCTGTATCAGGCATCACCAAACAAAGTTCTAGTGAAAAGCCTGGTAGATACATTCCCAAACTGAATCCTTTTAAGACCAAACTTCCATTTGAAATCTTTTCTTCAGCTCTAAGTTTTTCAAATACTTCTCTGCCTGTTGATCAGTTTTCCCACCACATTCTTGAAAAATTTTCAGAAAAGCTTTTCTAACATCTATAGGCATCTGTTTAGCATTACCTGCAACATACACCCATGCACCCTGCTCTTCTATTAGGTCCCACACTAGTTGTGCCTGCTCCAAAATTTTATGCTGTACATAGCTGGAGAAGTAAAAAAAAAAAAATACAATTTTAAACAGTTAATAATAAATCAGCATACTTACCAATCATCATTTCATAATTTTATACGCATTACCACTGTGAATAAAAACTGTAAAACAGTAACATCAAAAACTATCTTCGTTTTATTACTTTTTACAAATCAGCCTATTCATAACAGTGAAGATTTAAGTAAAAAAGGTTAAAAGATAACATGATGTAAATGTTTAGTTGTTCACTTTTGAGATTCAATGGTCAATTAATAATACTAGACTCTCCTCTTTTAGCTTCTTTTTATTACTGCCATAAATGACTCTTTCAAATCAAATAACTAGCTTCTGCATGTAGGAACATAACAAATTTTATGTCCAATAAATAAAAATCTTATAATGTGGTGTAGTTTCAAGATGCGACAAAAAGCATAATTTTAGAGTTTTTTTACTGCTATTGCTAATTGTATGGTAACTTAACTCACAGATTACTATTTCAATTAATCAAGAAACTGTAACATCATCCATTAAATGGAGAATGATGTGGACACAGTAGATGTGTAGGATGTTTTATGAATGGTTGAAATAAGCTGTATTGGGATATATTAAGAATTGACGAATCACATAGCTGTTTAAAAAGCAATCTAAAAATGACATAAACAGATCTTTGTCATTTTTAAAAATGCTTTAGACTTTTCTGAAACTGGTTAAATTTAACCACAGGTCAAGTCGTTTTTTCGAAAATTTTGATGGCTGGTGAACCAGGATGTTCAATCGAGTTTCACAAGATTAAGATTGAAAAGTATGGCATTTGGTACAAAAATACTCTTTTACAGGTTCCATAAATAAAAATACAAAAATGTGGGACATGTCAATTTTTGGTCATTTTAGGGAGTCAAAAGGTTAAATAAACCTCTAATTTTAAGGGGTTTTGGTCAATTACTTAGCCTTGTTTTGACCAATTTACATGGAATATGGTAAAAAGGTACTCTTTGCAGGTCCCAAACAGAGATATAGACAATTTTGGAATTTTCACCTTTTGCTCAATTTTTCAGTGAGTAAAGTATAGTTTGGATTTCCATGAACTATTCTTGTGTATGTTAACCAACTTACATGGGGTTTGGTACAAAGATATCTTCTTGCAGATCAAGCAGTGATATAGACAATTTTCTATTTTTGTGTTTTTTACAATTTTTCTGGTGTCACAATTGGCTATGTTGGGATTGCATAGTGGAGACATGTTGCATTTGCCCCACAAATGTTGGTTTCTTAAATTTTTTATATTTTTCATATGATAAAAATATTCTGTGATAATCATTTATTTTTTATCATGCATAAACCATCAAGTTATTACCCAACAAATAGGTTATAAATGCTTAAAGAGAAATATACTAAATACATCAGCTAACTTGCAGCTCTAGAATATCAGTTAGTTGTAGAACACAGATTATCATATCTTCACTGATTCTAAGCCATATAAGACAAATGACAAAACTCCAGAGTCCTTTCAGTTTTGATCATTACTAACCAATGAAATGAAAACTGAGATTTGCATCATTTAGAAGTGGTAGTTTGGTTAGCAGAGTCATCTGATCTGAAATTTAACTTCTTCATGTAAATTATAATTAAAAAATGCACTTGTTATCAGCAAGAAAACTGTTTCACACAAAAATGATGTCGTGATTACTATTAGCAGAAAAATAGCTTCACATTATTATCACTGTTTTTATTAGCAAAAAAAAAAAGTTTTAGATCATTATTACAGAAGACATATATTGTTCACAAAATAAAGATGGACTTATGAAAGTTGTAGGAATATGAAAAGAGGGGAATCAACATACACATAAAATTCAATAATTACTCGAGCTACTTAGTGATTCCAGAGAATTCTAAAAAAATTCTTAAAACGTAGCAAAATTGTGCAAGGTTATTTGCAAGGAGGAAATGAAACAATCATATTTCATGAAAAATAATTCTGATCAGTTGCTTAAAGAGGTAACAAGAAAGGTCATAATAAAGAAAAAGGACATCCTGATACACATAATTTATATTATGTGTTAAATTTAAAAGATGAAGAAATAAAAAAAAAACTTGTGAAGCTAGCATAAATCTAACCAGCTAAGTTAAATGGTAAGTTTAATGAAAAAAACAAACTATTGGCAATCTTTTTTAGTCATCATGTGCACCAAATCAGTGAGTTTTAGTTTATTAAGGCTTTTAAAAGCCCGGAATGTAATATTGAATAAACTGAAAATCACTCAAACAACTAATATGTTTCTACATAATTAAAAAAAAACAAAGTTGGATTGTTTGGGTAAAATGTTTAGATTATTCACACCACACATTTAGAATAATCACATAAAATCAATCTATCTTACACTTTATGCTCTTGATCTCGAGAGTAGGCTGTGAAGAGATGAAGCATACCACTGTTTACTAGAGACAACCAATCCCTACTACAAAGGAAATCTCCACATTTATTTCTGCAACCGAAGAACAAGTAGTTCCTAACTATATTTCTGGATGCTCTTTCAAAAATAAATGACCTAAATGGGGCACATCCTGTTCCAGGACCTACCATCACAACAGGAACATCATCAGGAGGCATGGTAATGGACCCCTTACGAACCCACAAAGGAATTTTACTAATATCTTCCATGTTAATATTTGCTAACCAATTCGAGCAAAGACCAAGTCTAGGTTTTTGCAACCTTGTTTTAAAATTAACAATTGCTATTAATATGTGTATTTCTCCTAGATGTACTGTAGGTGAGGAAGCAATAGAAAAAGCACGAGGTTTAATAGGAGGAATCAAGTCAAAATAGTACTCAAAAGGAATGTATGGGGTAGTATGAGGAAAATCTTGTAATACTTCAAGCACTGTACGATGAGGTCTGTTACAATAGGAATATAGTTCTTCTTGACCCTCTGCTGTTGTAAATTCTTGAAGTTTTTCCTGTTCTATGTCATCTTGGCTAAAATGCCACAGAAGTTCAAAAAATGATCTAAAAAATAAAAAAGATAAATTGGTTTTACATGAAAAAGATGAGTATAAATATTGAATTGGTGTGCTTACTAATAAATGTTTTATATTTCACTCTAATATCTAATATTCTTAAACCTATCCAGAACCTTGGAAATCTCTATAATGAAAGTAGTCTTATCCAAGCTATATCATTTTAAGCACTGAATATCCCACAAAAGACAAATAAGATTTAAAACTTTCATGCAAAAACATTAAAAAGTACATCTTCCTACATGAGCATATTTTACTACTAAAGCTATATTTACAATTAGGGGTGAAATTCTGCCGGTACTCACCGATACTGAGTAACGGAACATATTTTTAAGGCATACTAGTACCACGATTTATTTGAGCCACTTTGTTGTTTCTTATGTTCACAGTAGATTTTGTTTTCTTTTTCAAAAACAGGTCCACTTCACTCAGCTGAGTACCTCTACTTTTTCTTTGAGAATTTCACCCGTTTACAGCTATCTTGAAGTACAACGAATTATATATTACAAATAACACTGAATACATTTACCTACATATTTACAAAATATTTAGTTTTTCTTTAAGAAAAAGATTAATGTCCAAACTGAAAATTACAAAGACGTGCCATTGTTTTAAGAGCAAAAACTGATATTTTTTGCCACAATAAAAGGTAAAATACTTATTATTACTTATAGCTGATTAGATTTGGTAACACAGTTACCATCATCAGGGCTAATACTTTCTGATACCAACTTCACTAATATGAGCCTACCATATTTTTATAATCTGCTAGTAATTACTGCTTGATATGTCTAATTTCTGAATTAATGTCAGTCAAGAATACAGTCTTGCAGTCCATTATTACAGCATTTCCCAAACTGTGTTCTGGGGAACCCTGGGGTTTGTACAATATAGCCAGGGGTTCCTTGAGAAAATTTTGTGAAATGTTGTCAGAGTAAAGGAGCAGGCAAGGTATAGGTATAGCTTAAAAGCTTGTCAGCTCATAAAGTGTACAATCCTGTATTCCCTTTGTCACTGGCTGTTTCATTTATGACTTGCTGTAAGTTAGCCACTAGTGATAGTCAAGTGCAACAAGCTAGTCTTGATTTAACTTTTTAACATAAAAATGTTTCTTAAGGGTTCCATGTTAGTTTTAGAGTCCAAAAGTATTCTGTGGCCAAAGATGTTTGGGAAACACTGCATTAATAAATACTTTTGTGAAAGTTACATTAGTTTACAAGTAAAAGAAAGTGTAAATATAAGTTTACAAGTAAAACAAAGTGTAAATACAAGTTTACAAGTAAAAGAAAGTGTAAGTATAAGTTTACAAGTAAAACAAAGTGTACATATAAGTTTACAAGTAAAATAAAGTGTAAATATAAGTTTACAAGTAAAAGAAAGTGTAAATACAAGTTTACAAGTAAAAGAAAGTGTAAGTATAAGTTTACAAGTAAAACAAAGTGTAAATACAAGTTTACAAGTAAAGGAAAGTGTAAGTATAAGTTTACAAGTAAAAGAAAGTGTAAGTATAAGTTTATGATTAAAAGAAAATGTAAATATAAGTATTACTAAGAAGAAAAACATAACAGAAATCAAGCCCTGCATAGGTCAAAATAATGATTTATTTATGATGATAACAAACACAATTTTGTTAATCTCTAAAATGTTTTTTAACAAAATGATTCTTTTTTTCTGCACTAATGTTGTTGTTACTTGTACTTCATCAAAATGTTTCTTACATATTAACATAAAAGAAAGTAGAAGAAAACTTTTCTTTTACTTTATATTAACTGAAAAACCTCCAATTACACAATAATTTAATCACTGTAGATAAGTGTGTCACAGTCAGATTTTTCAGTAATAATGAGAAATATTTCTCTACAGTACCTTCTTGGAATGGACTGAATATCCCAATATCTCTCCACGCATTCTTGGACACTGCAAGGCTGGGGTAATTCAGTTGGAAGAGTAGAGTCTAGATCTTCTTGATGAAGAATAAATTTCTGATCTGGAGAAACATCTAACAACTTCAGAAACTCTGTACTTGTTTCCTTCAAATTTTGAGGGTATATCATCACCACATCTCCTGGTCTATACTCAATTTTAGAGCCTACAGATTTGGATATATATATATAATGTACTGAGTTCTTTTTTTTTTAAACAGCAAAACAACTGCACAAAAACATGAAATCCACAAAAAGTAAATTTAAAGGTGTATTTCTAATACATATGCACATAACTCAAAAATTCAAAATTACAAAATAATTACAAAACTCCAAATAATTATTCATATACTACAAACAAATTATTTGAAAAATGAGAGTGACTCTTTACCTTGTACATCAAATGAGATTAATCTTACATCTTGAAAATGAGACTTTGCGGTCATTTTTTCATTGCCTATCATTCTAGCTTTAAAAGGAGAAGCTTGAGATGGAGGACTTTCTATTTCTGGAATTGTTTCTAAAGAAGCTCTGTTTTCTTCAATGACTTCATCTGCCAAATCTTTTTCTTCCTCATATGTCAGAAACTGTACCCTAAAACGAGGTGGGCTTAAAATATCTTTACTTATTATTTCAACTCCAGGTGGAAGAGGGTACATTGTCTGAACCTTGTTCCAGAAAAATGTGAGCCAAATATCTATAGCAGCATCTGGTCCGAGTTCATGTTGGTCATCCCCAAGAGCTGGACTTAATATTGCAGATGCTCCAAGCTGTAACAACCTTTTGTGGAGTTTTTTTGCAACAACATTAAATTTCAGATAAGAAGAATCACCAAGACCTATAACTCCACAACTCATTTGTGATAAGGAATCTGATGGCAAATTTTTACGTAACAGAAAACGCCAAAATGTTTTCATGTTATCTGGCTCATCTCCTTGACCTGTTGTAGCACATACAAAAAGTACCAATTTCTCATTTATTAAACTAGCTATTCTATATTCATCCATAGCCATAACTTTTACCATAAAATGTCTTCGCCGAGCTTCACGTGCAGTCCTTTCAGCATGATCTTTGGCAGTTCCAGTTTGACTGCCGTAAAGAATTAATAACTTTCTGTCATCTTCTATCATTTTTAGTATTTATCTTTTGAATTAACTTGAGCAACAGTTCACGAAAAAATTACTTCTAATTTAAAATAAGCACTGTATGATAGTAATAACTTACAAGAATGCTACGTCGTAACTAACACTAACAGTATCAAATCTAACAGTAACACGACGGCGGGTCGTACAACGTGCAAGTTGTAGCTAAATTATGACTAATTTCCTAACACACAAAATAAATATAAGTACACACTAAAAATTTAAATAAAATCAGTTCTACTTCAAGAAAATTTTAATTAGTGAATTTTATTTAAAGGTACGATTATTGCTAAAGTACCACAATTTTCAGTACATATTTGCATCTTGCGCTACCTAGCAGTCATTGCAGAAGTGATGCTCACATTTTGCTATACTTATTGTTGTTTGCCAATTTATTATTATTATATTGACATAATATGCTTCCGTAGTCAAACATTACCTAAAATGTTAAACTCGCCACACTGAACAACGTAAATAGCATGCCTTAAATCTTTCTTTGGTATAAGCCAGATATAAACTTTTAAAATCTGGCACAATTCTATAGAGGCTTATATTTATAACATGTTTTATATATAACTAAATTTTATTAATGTAGAATTAATATGACATAATCTGTATCCATATTATTGTAATAGTTTCTATCAGTGGACGGGTTCTTTTTATTACTCGGTAAGAATAATGCAAAGCCCATTCCACTTAAAGATAATGAAAGCGATTTATTTCTTCAAATGTAACGCATTAGTTCTAAAGGCTACATTCGTTGATAGGCCTAATTAATAAATAAAAATAATTCATAAATTTTCTCTCGTATCTACTAAACAGCTCAAAAAATGGATGATTAACTCATTGAGTAATTAATCGGTAAGACAGTAACTAATTCACTAACTAGCTAATTACACACTGACTGGATCACTGATTAACTCTAACTCATTCGTGATGTTATATACCACAATGTTCCCTTTACCTAAATTTCAAATTACGGACACACGTCAAATCTAGAAAC